GTCCATGCGATATTGCAGTCGCGAAAGCCAACACAACCCTACAACATCCAGAGCCTTGAGAAACTCCCGGCGGATCTCATCCACCCCCGGGCCCCTTCTACCGAGTAGGTTTTTGACCACCTCAGTGACCTCGTCCCCAGAGATTGGAGAGCCCAACCCAAAGTCCCCAGGCTCAGCTTCCTCAACAGAAGGCATGTTGGTGGGATTGAGGAGGTCTTCAAAGTATTCCGCCCACCGGCACACAACGTCACGAGTTGAGGTAAGCAGCACACCATCCACACCATAAACAGTGTTGGTGCTGCACAAATGTGTCCTTCTTTTTCAATAAATTAAGGGACAGGACTGACGTATCCTTTTTTGGCCCACCCTATCGCAAGAAGTGCTGCAGGTTGACCGGAGATGTTTTTTGCTTGTAATCACGAACAAAGTGAAAGAAAAGAATAAAGTTTTGAATAAAAATCTGGCAGTATTAAAGTTGACAATTTAAAGTGGTTGTTTTATTAGTTTTTTGTCATTTGCATAGACATGTACTTTTTTATATTCGTCTTATCAGAAATCAAATGTGGCCCATGGTGACTCAGTTGGTAGAGCGTTGCCTCTAAGCAAGTTTGACAGATAGACTTGCAGGGGACCTTTCAGAGTTGAGTTTCATAATCTCTACATGCAGGCATGGATTTTCTCTAGGTAATCCGGCTTCTTCCCACAAATCAAAAACATGTTAGGTTAATTAATAACTCTAAATTGTCCCTAGGTGTGAGTGAGAGAGTGAATGGTTGTTTATCTCATTTGTCTCTATGTGTCCCTGTGATGGACTGGAGACCTTTCCAGGGTGTCCACTGCCCCTCACAGAGAGACTGCTGGTCTCTAAGCTAATTTTGTTTATTGATATACTAATATTTAGCTACTTTCAATCTATTTTTGCTTCTGTTTAGCATTGTCTCAAGTGCCAGGTGATAGGACATTCGCTGGGGTAAGGGCTGGAATAAAGCTTAAGGCTAGATTGTCCAAAATCACAGCCACTTTCATATGGTCTTTGTGGTCGACAAAGGACCCAGTCCACCTAGAATATGTAGGCAGTGTCCTTCGAAGGACACATCCCCTGAATTTGGACACTACCAGAGAAAGAGAGATTTTGTGTAGTTCAACATGGTACCCAGATAGCTCAGATGCTTGGAGACACAAAAAGCTAAGAAATGATAGCTGAGAGCTAACCCAGCACATTTTAAATTTTAATTACAAGTTTAAGCTATCCGCTAATGCTAGTTTTAGATAAGGCTATAATTCAGCCGTTTAGAGTATAGTAGTAGCTTCAACAAATTCTAATTGCTAAATAAAAATTCAAGATGGCCACCAGACCTAATATACATTCTATATTCTATATATACATTGCAATAACAGCCATTTTAAGAAATAATGAGTTGAAATTTTGTGTGGTGGCTTAGCTGAGAGCAATCTCCATCACAGACTGAATCCAAATCAAAAATCCAAGATGACCACCATAGCTAAAATGCAGTATTAACTATGATGAGGACCTAAACTCAGGCTATTTTTAGAACACCAGTCACGCGACTACATCTGCTGAACATTGGTGCGTATACAACTCTGATTCCAATCTACGGCACTGTGCCGGTCCAGTTGTGTTGAAACTTAAATTTGGGAAAACAGCATCAAACTCTACCAGGAAGACCACAAAACATTGTACTACAGTACTTGTAACAGACTCAGGAACCATCCATCGTCCCCACATGGAAGGAGTATTTTTGTCACTTTTCCAAAGCTAAGATGCTAGCTAACAGCTGGATTTGAGTGATGGACAAGCTGAATTTGACAGGAAAAAAGTGCAACCAAGGACATCCGCTCCAAACATTTTATCTGAGGTAAAACACCAACACTGGACCACCCAGATCCCTGCACTTTCTTTCAACAAATGGATACAGAAAACTTATATTGTTTTTACTGTAGCCTTGAAAAGAAATTTTGCTGCTTTCGTTTACCTTATTACGTGTTTGTAACCTGATAGAAAATACACCAATACTCGAATGTTTGAAAGTGAAAAGAAGGCATACAACCACACCAGCAGCCAGAGCCGGCTCTTGGCATAGGCAAACTAGGCGGTCACCTAGACCGCCATCTGCTGGAGGGGGCACCGAACTACAGAAGAAAAAAGTAATTATTTGGAATCCCTGGTTGTAACTCTGCTCAGCACCGCTTTCAATTAGCTTTGTCTTAAAAAAACTATAATAAAGTATTACAGGAAAAAAACTACTCTACCCATAAAACATTTGCCCCACCTCCCAATGCAGCAATCGCCCCCACCCTCTCTCTCATTTGATTGATGTTGCACTGACTCGTCCTGCTCCGACACTCTGACGGCTAGTAGTGCTTCTCAGGTAGCGGTTCGTGTTGACAAACCCAATAACAACAAGTCTGTATTTTGTTGTCCCATACCTGTTAACCCCTTCTGACGTTTACCTGGATAAAAAGCCTCAAAAATCCATAAATTTTGCAAAAAATCCATAAAATTTGCACCCGCCAAGGGCGTGTCAGCCTCGCTGAGGACATGAAAGCACCCGCTGCGAAGCAGGAGGAAAGGAGAGCGGAAAAAGTTCAAAACTTATTTCTAGCGGCAGAACAGGTTGGAAGATGGTTATTTAATGTTATTCAGTGTTTTTTAAATCATCCTACAGGCTCTGCCATGTTAGATAAATTTGAAAATGAGGTTTTGAAAAAATCCGTAAGACTTGAAAAAATCRGTGAGATTGCTCTATACGTCCGTATACCTGCAAAATGACGTAAAATCCTTATAACTTACGGACAATCTGTACAAGTTGACATGTATGTTGTTATTTATTTGCTTTCTGGGAAAGCAAATAAATCTAAGTTTACCATAGTACCTTACACTGTCAAACTTGTTTTAGGGGTTCAAATTGGGGTGGGTGGGACATAGTTCGGGATGGGGGGGGTGCTTCAACACGCCTAGGGCACCAAAATGGCTAGAGCCAGTACTGCCAGCAGCTGGACTGAATCACCGGGGCTTTCTCTTCGTGCATTCAGCCATGAATCCAGGAAGTATTGTTGCTTATAACAACTTCTTCAGGATCTGAACCCCCCTACTAAGTTTGACATCGTCAAGTCATCTAGACCAGTTTGTACATAAAATCAATTTAATCACAAAATTAATCACAAAATAGTTTATAAAAATATATCACGTTTCACCGAAGAAAAAAACTACAGAATTAGTAACAAACCCCAGTAAATTTATTCAACCTGCTGCTAGTTCTTCTCGTGGCTTCTATGGTAGCTTCAAACAGAGCTCTACTGCAGTCAGTCACACAAATGGTGATAATATTGTATTTACACAAATTCTAAACATCKCCATTAAGTTTTCAGCTGTCTCAGTTGTTGTGTCCTTGGGCAATTCACTTCACCTGCTTTGCCAGCTGATGGTGGTCAGAGGTGGTGCCGGTGCATGGCCTCTGTCACCTCTGTCAGTGTGCCCCAGGGCAGCTGTGGCTACAATGTAGCTTACCATCAGCGTGTAAATGTGTGTGCGAATGGGTGAACGTCTGTAGTGTAAAGCACTTTGGAGTTTGAAGGGACTTAATAGTTCAAGCCATTTACCATATTATGATGACTTGACCAGAACTCAGCCATTTTTAGCCATACTGAGGTGACATTTGGTATAGTTGTTGATGACAGTGATTATATAATAAATTCAAATCTTGGTTTACATTGGATGGCACATGGCAAGGCTTTTCATAGTTTCTCTAGGAAATATTCTACTTGAAACTATTGTTTGCCCTACAGATTACATTCCAAATTTTACTCCCACATTTTATTACATATTCACGACAACTACTGCTCGTTCCCACAACAGGAATTTCACCTGATAGAGTTTAAGGTTTTACAGGGTTCACTACGACCCTCACTCTCACTTTTCCTTTTAAAATAAAAATTATACTCACACGTGTCCTCACTCTGTTCGGATGAGCCGTCACTCATCAGATCCCAGCCTGCAGAAAGGAGCCCGGTCCTGGAAACAGGGATGATGCCGTGCACGGACTTCCACCGGGGTCCCACTGAACCTGCTGGAACCGTCAGAGATGTTGGCTCCCAGCTCTCGAAGGACCAAAATAAACGATAGGTTTAAACCCCTAGAACACTTATAAAACAGACAAAAAGAGAGGACATAAGATTAAAATTTATAACTCATGAGGAGAGCATTTGAGCAGGAAGAAACTTTCAGTTACAAAACTCCTCAAACACTCTGAAGTGCTTCCTGCAGCCCTTCTCCTTTTTATTAGATTCCCACTCCCCTAGTTACAGAACATGAAACTCATCTTAAAGGGTGGGGGATAAACACGAGTTTCATGTGATACATAAAAATACAAGTAATATGGAACATTATCAAGTTCAACATTCATTTCACTTCCACCTTTCTCATGATTAATAACGAAGTCATGGTTATTTTCTCTTTCAGCAGATGCAGACTCATCACTTCACATTTTAGGGTTTGCAAGCTTAGTTTCTCTCTTTCTTAAAAAACAAGCTGTCCTTAAGTAAGTGAGGACAAAGGTCATCTTTCTGAGCACAAAACATGTGAAAAAACAAGGTGAAGTTAGTTATAATGGCACAATATAAACGCAGAGTATATGAATGATAAATCATAAAGATACTTCTCAACTTAAACTCAACTTATCAATAGTACTTTTTTTAGTGTTGATCTAATAAAGTAATCATTGTCTTTCAGACACCTTCATTCTGAACACAGACATGGTGACAGAAGTATCAGTCAGTGGAGGGACCAGCAGGACCTTGTCCAGTACATGGAACGCCAGGTGGGAGATAAGCATTTGGCATAATGAATGTTTTTGTGAAAACTAATTTTAACGTTGTTACAAGAGCGTTTTTTTTCTTTCTTTTTTCTTTCCAAATGTTTTAATGTGCATTAGAGAGAAAAGACAAACTTAAATCAAGCTTACTTTTATCTTTAGGATGAACCTGTTTCTGTCTGAGACTCCTGTTAAAACTGGTTTACAATTTGTGAGAGGTGCCAATGTTGTATCTTGCCAATGTCCTTATGTGACAAAATTGTGTATTTTTCTTTGTACAGCACCCTTAGACCCCTCTAAATTTCATAATTTTATGGAAACATGAATTGATGATAATGCATAGTATTATTGTTATGGGGTGGCATATCTATCTATCTATCTATCTATCTATCTATCTATCTATCTATCTATCTATCTATCTATCTATCTATCTATCTATCTATCTATCTAT